ATTATATGTATTTATTATAAGTTATTTTTGCAATGTGCAATATATCTATTTTTTGAGAATTAACCCCTTTGATGTTACACAGGGATCTGTCTTGTAAAATGTATCACGTAGCGGTTTCAGTAATTTAATTCTGCAGTTAGTGTGTTTTTGCAATTCTGCGCCCGCTTCTGCTTTCATTCACTGCTCTTCAACCCCACAAGTGCTAATATATGGATCAGCCAGCACTGCAATAACTTTAGCTTGCTCTTTATATCTGAAATGGCTATATTGCTTTAGGCAGTGGACCACTGCATTCCATTTAGACTTCATATATTTTTATTCCTTTCTCTCTTCAGCTTGCCTTATGCTTCCATTTCCCAAATAATTAGCATGGTGTAACATGTCTGTGGTATAGGATAACATCTGAACCTTCTGATTAATTGCCACAGTTAAATCACCTTTCTCCCCCTCTCCCCCTTATTTTATTTATTTATCTGTTTTTAAAAGCAGAGTAAGCTCTGGCATTCACTACACACTGATAAGCAACATCTATCTACCCGGAGGTACCTTGGATTATTCTGTTTTAGGTGAGTTTTTAAATCGCATTTTCCCACCAGCGCTCAACTTGTTTTCTGGCTGCATATTTTTCCCATGGTACATTTAAGATGCATCTAGTGTAATTATTATGATGCAAAGCGCAAGCTGATATGAAAAACAGCTTGTAAGTTTTGAATAATTCTGCAGCTATTACATAGGTAGAATGGCTTATTTAACTATGAGCTTTGTCCCATGGCATGGGAACCACTATGGTTTTATAGCCTCTAAGGGTCGTAACGAACACCTTACCAATACAAACAACAGACAGATTTCTAACATAGATCTCAACATTTAACAGAATATCTAGGAGACTGTAATAATTTTCCCGTAACACAGGCCAAATGCACTTCTTAGCTGATGAAAACAATGATTTACTTCCAAGTCTTAAAACCTCTCTCCAAAGGAAGGTTCTCATTTTCCCTGGTAAATTGTCCAAAAGGGCAACAAACACTGTGGGTCTGTAAGGTCAACTCAAATTGAAGGATGCATTGGTAGGTCCAGCTCAAAAGTCACTATGGTCTTGCTGTTCCCTTCCCACCTTAGCTGGGGCTCTGACAGTAGCTGGACAGGTACCTACAAGTGAAGGTCCATCGCTCTTCCCAGCAGTGATGTGTTCTGCCTGTGTGCCCAGCAGGCTCTTGGTCTTGGGTACTGATATTTACCCCACCAAAACACATGGGTGAATAAGAAACTCTGGGCCCAACTGATTTTAAGAGGAAGAAAGCATCTTCAAATTAAAATCTCCTCCTCTTAATTGAGTACTGTCCTATTAAGACTGGAACTGATCCCAGCAACTTCTGCTCTTGAAGCACACCAATAAGTCCCTGCCGCCGTGGTCAGCCAATGTCATTTTCTGCCCCTTTTGACAAAGACATATTGCTGTTCCATGCTAGAGAGCCAGACGGCCATCAATCACCTCCTCAATGGCACTACCTTCCAGCTCCACCTTGCCACGTACGCTCTGCTAATAATTAAATCCCAGCCTGGAACTCGCAGAGCAGCCACTGAGGTCCCCTCTGGAGAACACGCTCTTCAGCCATGCTACCAGGGAGGGAGGTCATTCAGCACCATAAGTGACACCTGTCAAATTGCTGCTGGCTTTTTATTAAGGAGCAGGACTCTGATGTCCGCTCCCCATGACGCATGGTGTTCAGTCTCATTAGGTGTGAGGTGGACTCATTAGGGTGCTGTGGATACTCGTTACAGCAAAGGATGCTCCCTATGGATCTAAAAATCCAACAAACTGAAGTTTGAAACTACAAATCTCAATTACAATTTCTGTTGCAAAACTCCCAGAATATTATTAATTACAGTGTGTATGACAGTCCTCGTTAGGGACCCTAGTCACTGGCCAGGACACTGCTATAAGTCCAACACAAGCATGCAACAACCTTTCCCCAAGGATCGTTCCACCTCCTTAAAGGTCTTTGAGGCAAGACACAAGACCACAAAATGGCTCAAAAGCATGCTTTTGAGTACAAGTACAAGTCAACAAACGCCAACAAACCCCATTTATTTTTAAACCTCCACCTTTCCAAACCAGCAGGTATTCTACTGCCAAGACTTTAAAATCAACTCATTGCAACAGCATAAGGAACGTCACACAAGCCACCTCCCAGATCTGCCAAAAGCCACATGGCCAGCTCTACCAGCAGACCAGAGCGAGATGGTGCTGCCAGGAGGAGCAAGGTGACGAGCAGCTGGAGGGAAGAGCTACAGATGTTTGCAAGGTACCCGCCTCTGCTCTCAGACCGGGCTGACCACTAAAGCAGACATGCCAGGAATCCGTCTGGTTGCATCAGAGTCAACAAAGTGGAACCAATTTGGCTCTTACAGCAATGATATGACACTTTGGCTGCAGCCAAGTGATAAAACATGATCTGAAAGTCTTGAGGGCACTTGCTAACACCCAGAAACACCCACCGGCTAACAGCACGCTGGCTTGGCACTCGGGAAGCTTCCAGCTGTAGCTATTTCCAAGCTGTTGGCTGAGCATGGGCAAGCAAGGGTCTCACATTCTCTTTCTGCAAGATGAGATAACACCACTGCCCCTAGTCTAATGAGGTTTGGGTGAAATGCCATGCAGACAAGGCTGACCCACTTGCAGTTTGGGAAGAAGCTCGTTTGGCGCTTGCCTGTATCTGCAGCACGCAGCAGGGATCGCCCACATTCATGCCAGCCGAGCGGAAAGCTATCTGCATTTCCCAGGTGCAACCTCTGACTTCGGCGACTCAGGGATATCTGTTAACTCCAGGCAGGTGATAACCAGCCAAACACATTTCTTTTGAAAATTCAAGCAGTTGTAGGAAACTGGCAAAAACAGACTGGGACTGCAGAATGCCATTAACCTGGAAACCTACGCTCTGAATAGGCCACTTCTTCAAACATCTCCCACGATAACGCCACAGCCATTTAATGGCATGTCTCCTGGACCGGTAGTGGTTCTTGCAGAATACAATGCATATGTCATCCTGCAGCAGCAGCAGATCTATCCTGTCCCTCTCAGCTGGACCCAGCTGTTGTGGGAAATGAGCTGCCAGGCTTCCATTTCTTTTTTTTTTTTTTTGGCAGAGTTTTGGCCATGCATGACTGTTCTTTAACATATATTTTTGTTGTGGCTCTTCACATTCCCTCTTCAGATTATCAAGTGAAACAAAAATATACAAAGAAGTGACACTGGAAGACTATTTAAGAAAAGGTCTTTTGAAACCATAATAGCTTTTGTGGTTATGCAGCCATGGAAGCAGCTCCAAAATGTTCTGCCCACACTGAAGAGGCCAGATCCCTATCTAGCTCAGAACCGTGGATTCTGCTGCAGTATCAGGCACATCAAATGGAGACACTGAAGCACAGAAAAACACAAGGCCAAAGTCTTTCAGGCATCAGGGCCTCCTCTTCTTTCTACAGCAGCTGAGACTGTTCTCACCCAAAGACGGCCAAGACAGCTCAGGAAATGGAGGACCAACTTGCGCCCCACAAGGCAGCTCTGCACGCTTCTGTCCCATCACCAAGGTGCTCCCTACTCCCTGGTGGCACAGTGAGGATGCCATGAGCAAGGACCCAGCCAGAAGATGTCCTGCACCAGTAAACACAGGATGTGGTAACAGCTAATTCTGTTCGCTCGTCATCTTCAGCTCAGAGCTGCTCATGCCAGGAGCTCGACACAAGCTTTGCATTGGTGTGACTATCTTCTGTTCCACCACATAGCAGAAGGAAGGTTCACACCAGATGGTTTCTACCATTAGAGTTACCGTCACACAGCAATTTCCCTGCTCAGCTCCCGTTTGCAGTAACAGAACCATGACACATTGGCCACTTTTCCTGCCGAGTGCATTAGCAGCCCATGAACCCGCAACGCTCACCTTAACTTCCACGTGTGCCATCAGGACCGCAAAGTTGGTTAGGTGATTGCAGGAGCACGTGGTGTGTGTCTTGTTAGTTGTCAGGAGGCGGCATCCCTGGGTGGACCAATACCCTGTCATTGTACGCTTTGTATAGCTCCAGAATGAACAGTTGGGATTGAAATTTTCTTCTGACTGCTGCAGGGAAGAAATGAATAAATGCAATAAAAATGATAGGGTTTAAGCAATTTCTAAATGCACTTTTTTTTTTTTCCAGAGGCACTTTGTAACTCTCACCCTTTAATTTTAGATAAACAATCAGCAGCGGTTTATACGTCAAGTATTACTTGCCGATACCAGAGAAAGTTAGATTGTTGCTGCTCTTTTTGCTAATGCAAACTTAGTTCTTTGTTCTTGATTAATTTCAGCTATAGACTAAATCCAACTCTTCAAAACCAGATTGCTTCATTTGCATTGCAGAGCAGAGAAATTAATTGCTTTAAGCAATCAACTTTTGCAATGACTGTGCTTGGCTAACAGGAGGACTAGCTGTCCTCTTTCACTGTAATTCCACTTTCCTCTAATATCTCCTGCCACCATGATAAAATAATATTACGGTCTATTCTAATATATTGTTAGTTTTTAATTACAGAATGATGCGTGTCAGCAACGGAGCAATGGGCGTCAGCTCAAAGGAGACTCTCTCTTTACTTTTATGAATGCAGCGCAAAAGAGACATTCTCCATAAATAACACAAAGTGCAAAGGAACAAATGTATAATTCAAAATCTAATCAAGGACTGCTGGGGGCCTCGCATCAGCCAACTTTTGCATCACTTTGTTTTAGAAACTGAAAGAAAAAAAAACAACCACACTTTTTGAACTCACTCACCTTGATGTGCTTGACGGTAAACACCACAGGATCAGCTAGGTAAACCTTATTGCTGAACTCTTTGTTTATTGCTGCCGTGATGACGGGGGAGTTGACAATGACAGAGTGATTAGTCGACATTGCTTCTGTTCCCAACTTCATGCTGGCATTCTCCGTGGAGAGATAGGTGCCCAGGTTGTTGTACAGCACAAAAGCCACCCTGATTTCACCTAAAAGAGCAGTATAAGGTTAGATACCCAGGTCAGCGCACCGGGTTTTGTTTTAGATGACAAATCTCTTCTCTGAACCAACTTTAAAACTTCTCTGAGAAAATGTGAAAGGACCAAGATGTAGCACATGAAAACTCACCTCCTCCTGCCAATCCCAAGAAGCAGTCCAAGGATGAGAAGGGCAGAGCTGCCTCTCCAAAAAAAACTTTTATAAGCAAACAGATCAGAGGAAGGCAGACAGAGAAGGTGGGCTTATTTTTGGCATCAGTGGGTGTAACTGACTCCAGAGAGAAGAGGCCAGGTGGCCCATTTCCCACTTGACATAACACTTTATTCTCTGGGCTATGCTTGGGAAATATGTTTCCCTCTGGCCTGTCACACAGATGCAGTGTAAAACTACAATTTAGTCCAGTGCAAACTCCACAAATAAATTGAGACCACCTCAGAAAAGTGTGGGGAGAAATCTGTTAGAGGGAATCCCAAACTTTCCAACCCAATTCCCATCTCAAATGAAGGGCAAACCAGAAATTGCAGATATTACATTAAAAATATATATTTCTTTTCTTAATTTGCCAGTCAGATATCCCCTCTTCCACACAAAAAAACCCCACCATTAGGGAGCCTGCAGAAAAACCTGGGCTACCAGCCAACTGTTTTTTAACTGAAACCATCCAGTTTGCCTTCTGTTTTGCACATTATTTCACAGGCTATAAATAAGAATTGCATGTGATTAGTTTTCCTTTATATATACTAGTTGTGGGGAGGTATTTTTTTTTGTTTCTATAGGAATCACCCCAGCTTCTACAGAAGGTGAAGCACTGACAACTCCAAAGGAACCTCCCTGTATCAGGAGGTTCATAAGCTTCAGAGAGAAAGGCAAGGAGGATTTAGACTCATAATAGTTAATCAACATTTTCTGCCATGCTGGCTCATAATTAATATTTTCTCCTATTGTTTCTTCCTCCTCCCTTTTCAGATATTTGTACAGTGCCTCACTGTGAAGCAGTACTCAAACAAATGTCTTATCCCATCTGAAGCCTCCTACTGCAGACAACAGCAGCGAAAAGCACTTCTCTGGGCTCAGCGCTGTGCCCCAACAGCTACGTCACTTAGGGATGTGATGCACTTTTACCAGCACTTAATACTTTTGAAGGCTGTGAGTCACTTTGCAATATAAGACATTCCCCATCAGCCAACTTAGCCTCAAGTCAAGGGCATGAGTGACTGATGCTACCATTAATTCAAATATTAGCATAGCAATTAATACCAGACTTACAGCTGCTTAAACACAAAACAATGCCTAAAGCATAACTGATTCCCAAGGCTGGTGTGGCTGGAGGTGCTGGACCTACCATTTCGACCATTTTGCTTCAAGGTATTTGCCGACAGCTGAATGGCGCTCCCATGGCCCATGTTCTGGGGAAACTTCAGGTCTTCCAAATTCCCATCTGTGCTCAGTCTAGCAACTTCCAGCTCTGTTTGCAAGAGAGATCGACACTAAGAAAAATCTCTACTGAAATAATCTTTGACATGACACTTCAAAACTACAAAATGGTGATCCAGACCAGCTGAGCACAGAGGAATCAACTTACTATGCTTCATGCTAGACTCTGTTTGGTCTCATTTCTTTTTAAATCTTTGCCCTGAAGAAGTTTGAAATTTAATTAAAAAAAAAAAAAAAGCAAATAAATTCTACCCTCTGTGGAAGACAAAAGACAACCAGTTCTTGTAAACAAGAACCTCAGGATATTAAGGACAATGGTTAAAATGAAAACCTGAAAATGCTAGTTCTTTGCCACTGGCGATTGGTACTTTCTGTAAATGTTATCGGTGCTTGGGATCTGTATTAATAGAAATAGAAAGAAGAGTTGTTCTCATTTTACATATGCACAGCGGGAGTGCTGGTGCTTTCCCTCATGCTTTTTTTTTTAATTAAAATCAACAATCAGCCAAATAAAGACACAAATTTGTATGAAATGAAACACAATTGCATTACGATGAACAATCTCCCTGTGAAGCAGTGCTCTCATTGCTCGAGCACAGATTTCACCCTCCAAGCCAGGAGCAATAAAGGCAGGTTAGGTGCTCATCTTCTGTGGGATTTCAAGTGTAGGGAGCTGCGTTATTCCTTTAGGCTCTTTTGGGAAGATTTTTAAGTTGTTCAGACAAAGGGCCAAGATATATCTAACAAATTTCTCTCCAGCTAATCTAGGGGCCAAGACTAAAGGCAGGTTTCCTAGCCTTTCCTCTCCCCCTGGCTGCTTCTGGTATTGATGGGATCTGTCCCTTACGGATGTTGTCAGTGTTTTCCCGGACAATGTCCGTCTTCAGCAGGTTATCAGCCAGCACGAAGGCACTGTCCTCCACAGTGTCCAGTAACTTGGTGGCCGCACGCTGCTGCTCGCTCGCGTTCAGGTCCCTCCATGCGTTCAACGCCTGCGGCTGCAGGAGGTTGTTCACCGTCTCCACCATGGCCTGCAAGGGAGAGGGATGGAGTGAGAAAGGGCTCTTGGCCAGCCTAAAACACCATTGAGACCTGTAACATACTCTCAGTCCCCTCCTCCACACACATCAGTTCACAGGGACCGGACAGCATCTCATTTCCCACCCATTGGGGCAGCCTCCAATTGAGCTGGGCATCATTTATCCCATCGGATAGGAGAGGGAGGAAATGTTGATTTTGTTCTCAATGCAGGCTGGGAATAATGCTTTTCTGCTTCCATGATTAGTAGCTCAGGGTTTGGAGTAAGAAGGAATTAGGGGTTTGAGGGTGCAGAGGGGAGATGAGGAAATCATTAAGGAAATGCAGGAAAATAGATCTCTAAACCCATCTGTGAAGCAGGTTGCTGCTACCTGCAACACCAGAATTCAGGAGTAGGGCTGGGGCATCCAAGGAATTTTGTATTTAGTATCTGCAAGGGCTACCCGCTCCTTAGAGCATTTCATATTTCATAGAACGTTTCTCACCCCATAACCTCTGGCAGGCAGTCATGAAGACACAGAGATAGCTGAGTTACACCGCTTCATCCAGAGAAGCAGCAGGTACCCATAGAGATTTACATAAGATGCTAAATTTCAAATCTCTCCAGTCAGGAAGGAGTCAACCCGGTGGTAACAAATCCAGTCCCTCCTGCGGTGCACCTTTTGCCCTGGGCTGCCACTCACAAAAAGAACCTCCCAGAGGTTAATCTGGATGCGCATCCAGGATCACACACAACCACGCTGGCCTCAGGATTGCTAAATTATAGCAGTAGAGCCCACCCAACCCGAAGGCTTTGCTCAGCCTAAAACCCCTGCTTAGTTACTAACCAGAGCTGACTCAGCTACCTTCCAGCTAACATTACCAGGCAAGCCTGCCTCACAAAAAACCACCTTCACTGCCAGCTAGTGCTGACTGCAGAAACCAACCTTCCCTTTGAGATAAAGTTGCCATTCTTAATAGTTTTCTGTATGCTGGACATGTAGGCATCAAACCCACACCTCTCTTCTCCATGGCAAAGACAGTCCCGTGGGATTTCAACATGTTGCAACCCTAAGGATGCCCTACGGGCTCACTTTCATGGAAATAATTCAGTATTTACACCTGACAGTGTTTTGAAACCCACCTGTGCAACATGACCTGTGAAAAGAAGCCATGGCATGGTCCATTCTCCAGCAGAGCCCTCAGGAGGTGTGTTACAACGGCAACACATGGCACAGCGTGCAGGACATCCTGGCTCACACACCAGCTGTGACCAGATACGAATGTGCAACAGGAGAATACAACCACATAAAACCAGAATTTGATTTTATTGCTATATCCAGGTGACCTTCAAAAAATTTCAATTACAGCAAGGTTCAAGGAGAGGCAAAGACAGCTAGACCTGCCACTGCTGGTGCTTTTAATCCCAGCAAAGATGCTTCACCAAGACACTGCCATGTGCATCTTCCTCCTAAGTGTCCTTCAGGTTAGAAGGTTTCTCCTACTACCACGGTTCCTACCAGAAGACTGAGTCAGATTTGGGTTCCTCTGCCAGTACAAAACTCCTACTCTTCAACCTACATTTATTCACAATGAATTAACTCATCCGTTCTTGTGCCAAATCTCTGTAGCTTAAACAGATCTTCCCCTCCCTGGCAGTCCCTTGATTATTAAACATTTCTCCTGAGCCTCATAGCTTGGTTTCCCAAAGTATGGAGTAACCCATGCTTCAACCACTGAAGCAAACTGAAATGGCTGAAAATCTTCTTTTCTAGTGCTCCTGCAAAAATCTTTTGCTGTCAAGCCTTTATGATCCAGCACTGGAATCCCCTTCTCATTTGCTGTTAAGTGGAAACTTATTAACCATAAAGCAATTTCTTAAAGTGATAATTAAACTGATTTTCCTCAATAGTCGAAAAATAATCTTAACATATTTAGTACATGCACACAAAAAGCTGGTTAACTTTAAAAGTCAAGAAGAAATACTAAAAATCTGTAGCATTTAAGTGTGGATTTTTGGTGTGTTTTAAAATCTGGAAGCCTGATCTCTGTAGCTTTTAATAAAATTCTATAGTTTACTCTGGTAGCTTATCTCTTTACAGGCAAAAAGGAGGTGTTATTCTTTTCCAGTGACCAAAATGCTTGACTATTTTGCTGTGCAGGTTCCACACAACATGGTGTTTTCTTGCAAAGATCTTTTACTCATGAAAAGCAGAAAATGAGCATTTTTTTTTCTCCCCATTGAAATGTTATCACAGACCACAATTTCGCTTTACTTGCATTTAGCTCAGCTGCTAATGGTGTCTTTAAGTCTCTGCTAAAACAACATGCTGGATACTTTCATCCATATCTGAATGGTGGAAAGAGTCTTTGCAACAGATCCATCTCCTGGCTCTGGATGGCAAGGTAACGCCTATTTGTCAAAACATGAAACAGATGCCGAAGTATTTGTGTTATGTTGAAACATCTGCTGCAAAGATTTTTTCCCTAGAAGAATTATTTTATCTATTTTTTAAAAAAATGTGTGCGTATGTCTGCACACAAAGTTTGAGAGAAAACACCAATTAGTCCTAGCATGTCGCCTCCTGCACAACATGTATTCCCCACCCAATGGACATGATGTCGGTGAGCATCCTCTTGAAGTTGACCAACATGAAACCAGCCACCCGCATGTCACCTCCAGAGAGATTTCCAAGGACGTTGGGCCAGGTCCTTAGCACAGATATGAGCAAAGCTGGTAGATTGTCTTCATTGGCATTACATCCGAGATTAATTTAGCCCATAGCTTTTCCCAGAGGGTCACTCCCCTCACCTGCCTCAGTGCATTAATCAAGTGTTCCCCGCATTATATTTCTGAGTGCGGCACTTCATTACGGCTGAGTGCTGCGGGCTGAAGCCAAGGAGATGAGGTGCTAATGAAATGTTTGCATTTTGGACAGGAGCTGAGGTAGGTGTTTAAATGAAACAAAACAGCTGTTAAAGCAATGGTGTCTCTTGAGACAGAGATGTCAACTGGGAAAAGTTGGGCAGGGGAGTGGGAACTGTGGGAAGACGTGCATGGGACAAGGACTAGCCTGTGTCTTTGCATTTAAGCTAAGCTGTCATGGTTTAGGTGAGTTTGGCACCTGCTCCAATGACTTTGTGGTCTGATGAAGCTCCAGCATTGAAGAAGCAGCAGTGTCAAGCTCCCAGCAAAGCTTTTTGGTGACCAGTAGAAGGAAGGTTAGTCCTGATGCAGGACCTTTGAAATGAAGAAGGCATGAGATAGATGTTCTTGGGAGCTGATGGCGTGATAGATTTTACCCTAGACCCCTGGTGATCCTGATAGCGCTAGGGACCTTCAGAGGGAGCTAGGAAAGTCCTGACCTAGTTTCATCCCATTTCAGTTCAAGAATTTAGAATGCAGTGAAGACGGGAGCCCAGATGCGCTCCAGTTTCTCTCCCCACTGAAAGTAGAAGGAATTTTAGCAAGTATCATGCCCATTTAGGTGCCCAAACACATGTGAGATTAATCCTATCCCTGAAGGACCCAACATATATCAAAGGGTTCTGCATGACTAGCACACTGAAGACCCTGTCCTTGCTTCCCAAGCTAAAGGACTTCCCCTGCTGTGGCTTTCTTTTCCCCTGCCTGGTCCCTCTTCCGAATGTAGCTCAACTGGGCAACCAATTTCCAAAGTACCCTTGTGAGCCTCATGCAAAATAAAAAAGTGGGGGTTGGAGCCCCAACATATCTTGTGTCACCCACAGCATGGCACCAAACCAGTGCCATGGTTGCTGGGGCTTAATGGACAGCACAAGCACACATATGCCCAGGGGGAAGGACAAACGTAACTCAAATGACACAAAGCGAAAACTTTCACAAGGCATAGGAAAATGAGGGAAGAAGGGCACGGCAGAAGGGAGCCAAGAAGGAAGCCACTCGTTTTTCTGTCCTGAGATATGTAGGTGTAGCTGTATGCTGCCCATGACGTCAGGGTACCCATCTATGCAAAGTCAGACCCCCTAAACACAAGCAACCATCCAGGGTCAGATGAAAGGTCCTCTGAGACCAATATTCTGTCTCCAGCAGTGGCTACAATTGGGCATCGAGAGAAGAGCAAGAACATGCCAAGCATAGAAGACAAATCCCGTGATGGTGATCCCTTTCATTATGCGGTTATATAGCACCACAGAGTGTACACTCAATATAAATAAGTGTTAATAAATTGCAGAGGGAGAACTTTTTCCCAAATAAGGGCATATGCTCATGGTTTCTTGATTTTGTCCTGAGGTTACAAAACAGAAACAAAATGTAAACCTTCCTTTTCAGACACTTACAAATTGGTATTAAAAGATGTATTGTCAAAATGCAACTAATTACAAGTCTTACAGTAATTAAACATTACTAAAAGGCTGATTGCACATATCCCATCGATTTCCTTTGTGACAGCTGCTTCTTTCCACAAAACTGAATTTTGCTTTTTTATTTATTTTTATCTTCTTCCCCTCTAGAAATGCCGGGTGAGAATATCTGGCTATGTGACACAGAGTTTAAACCTAGGAGGAAGTATATATCCAGTGACACCACACCCATTTATTTCTCTCTCACCATACCCACACCCAAGGCATTGCTCATTGACAAAAGCAAATTTTGTAACCTAAAATCTGTCTTTAATTGGGAATCAACACCTGAAATCATGGAGAGATGTTAGATCTACTCATCTCATTGCCAAATTTGGGACCAGACTGTTGGTCTTAAGTACAGCAACCCTCACCTTAGAAAACCTGCAGCTCTCCTGGAGTTAGGACCTCTCTAAACTTTTATCGTTCATTTTCGCCTGTTGTTGAGCAGCTGATAGAAGAACAAAAACCCCAGAGAACTTATGATTGAAGCACATTTTCAAGGGTGCCTGAGAAAATATTGCTTCATGGCAAGTGAATACCAGTAGACATTACAGGGAATACTGGTTGAGCCCCTGTGCTGAGTCATTTTCAAATATGCAGCTTATCCTTCCTTACAAAAGAGGACTTC